GTAGTGGTCTTTAGCAGTGGGAGTAAAACGGGGGATCCGGAGAAAACCCACGAGGTTGGATTCTTGAAAAGAAATCAAACCATAGTTAGTCCCGAAACGACATAGTTTGTGTCGAGTGGACGTTAAACCTACCCCTCTCTCTCTCTCTCTCTCTCTCTCTGAACAGCCAATTAAACCGTTTATGAGAAATCGACCAATGTTTGTCAGCTGTTATTTGTGTTATCTGTGTAATATTATGAGAACGTTTATTTTAGGACTCTACCAGTGGAATTGAGGATGGTGTTATTGGCGTGTTTCTTATTAGGGACCTGTTTTATAACACTGCACGGTAGGTTTCATTTCACGTTATCAGGACTCTAAATGAAATGAAATGAAATGGGGTTTAACGCCTTACTCTTTTGCACCTAACCTGGGCTAATTGAAGACGGGCATACGCCATACAGTGTGCTATGAGGGAAATTTTGCCCGGGCAGCGGCGCTACGGCCTACTCTTATATCGAATTCCAACTGCCAAGGGATCTTTTACGTGCACGCCAATGTGTACACGGGACCTCGGTTTTCCGTCCCATCCGAACGACTAGGCAGCTGTCCATGTCAGGCCCTCCATTCTGCATCACTGACAAGGCGAAACCACGCCGGAAAATCGAGATGAATATCAGGACTCTAATTTAGTGGTCCTACTTAATACTAACAAGAACAGGCAAGCGCGATTTTGGTAAATATCGCCCAAAGTATTGGTAAAAATGAGCGACAAGAAAAGATACGATGCACATTCTACAACAAAAGATTCAAAAAGAGTGCAATCGGATTAAAATACAAGGCTCTATTTCGTTTCGTTTTTTATACATGAAGATCTGACCAGTTGTAGTAGGAGATCGCGTCAGGGGTCATACGGGCGGCATAAACCAATCAGCGTTGATGTTTCTGGTAGGATACCCACAATTCCGCGCATCGCACGCCAAGAACTTGCTGAAACAACTCCTAGCGTAGTTAAGACAAGTAAAAAATTTGAACTATAAAAAACGAAACGAAATAGGATCTGTGTTTTAATCATATTGTAAAGAGTAATGATAAGACATAGCGTCTTGGCCTTGTCAGAGTCGCTAGTTGTGTCTCTCTTCAGGACCAGGTTTTTAGTCTTACATCACTGACAATGGAAGCCACACTGGAAAATCCAACTGAACACGGAAGCCACGATGACGCAGTTAGTAAGACTCCGGCTCGCGAAGCAGGGATATCGGGCTCGCTCCCGGTTTTGCCCGAGAAAGTTGTTCGGGATTACCTGGCGTGGTTTCCGTTTGTCAAATGTACAGGATGGGACCCTAACCCTCGGGTTTTTTTTTATCCCATTCGAACGACTAGACGTTTCCCGCGCCAGACTCGTCGTCCTCCACCACTAACAAAATATCGGGATCGAACCACTTTTTCTTGGTTAGTGAACGGACACCACCCCGCCCCTCCCACTCCTGGGGATGGCCGAATGATTAACACGTCTGCGCTGTATGATCAGGTCTGTCATTGAGTCAACTGGCGTGGTTTCGATTCCCCGGTTGTACGTGACAAGAAGTAGGGTCGCCTGTTTAACGTCGTGGGTTTTCTCCGGGTCCTCCAGGTTCCCCCATTGCTAAATACCCACACGTGCAAGCTAATTATTGAAATACAATTAAACCGTATGTTAGTCCCCCTTACGTACCTATAACACTAAACATTTAATGATACAATATTGTATTTGTGCAGTGGATAGTGCTACAGTACCGGATAAAACAGTTGACGACACGGTACCGAGAATAACAAAACAACCTGAATCTGTATTTATATATAGAGATTCCCTGGCAACCAGTATTGAGTTAGAATGTGAGGCAAGCAACGCTACCCGCTATCAATGGTATAAAAATTACGACACAATATTCCGAATACATTTAGACCCAGGAACAGACAGACGATATTCATTTACCAAAGGAAGGTTCACTATACGTAACCCGGATGTAAATGTAGATCCGGGTGATTATAGATGTGTTGCCTATAATCATTATGCATCTGTTTTCAGCAACCCGGCCAGGATTAAAGCTGGATGTAAGAGTCTTTATTTTCTATTTTCTATTTTCTAGTACTATAATGACTAAGATAAATGATATAAAGTTGGTTTTAATGTTCCACTCAAGAACTGAGGCTGGAGAGGTCGAGAGGAGTAAACGGTATCTCCAGCAGATCGACGTTTTATCATTCTACATCATTTCGTTAACAAGCGTACTACACGTCTGTCGGTCTGGCTGCAATTAGTTACCTTAGTGACGGTGTCTAATCGCTCGACTATGTTACTTTAGTAACGGTGTCTAATCGCTCGACTATGTTACCATAGCAACGGTGTCTAATCGGACTACTATGTTACTTTAGTAACGGTGTCTAATGGGACCACTATGTTACCTTAGTAACGGTGTCTAATCGGACTACTATGTTACTTTAGTAACGGTTTCTATTCGGACCACTATGTTACTTTAGTAACAGTGTCTAATCGGACTGCTATGTTACTTTAATAACGGTGTCTAATCGGACTACTATGTTACTTTAATAACGCTGTCTAATCTGACTACTATGTTACTTTAGTAACGGTGTCGAATCGGACTAGTATGTCCTTTCATCGCTACTGGCTGTTTCTATTGACATGTAATATGAAAATAACGCTTTACACCACCTCCTGTTCTAAGGCTATTTTTGAATCCTTGCCGTCTATTTTTCATCGGGATTCTTCTTTGTTCGCCAAAGGAATCATTTCGTAGCACATTTGACACAAATTCATAATAATCAACTATTTTCAAGTAGAATATTGCGATTCAAAAACACAAACAAATTTATTTGAATTGGACTGCCATGATGAAACCCGCGTTTGCGCAGACCGAAGGTTACGGGCTCGTGGCTATGCTTATCCAATATTTAAAATCTAGGAATTGAATGTTACCGTAAATGAAAATTAGTAATCCAATCCGACACCGTTACTAAAGTAACTAGTCTACAATTAGTTCCGCTTAAGAACAGACACTAAGCTAGTTGACCGACATTGTAATTCCTAAATCAAGGATTTTAGTCGAAAATTCTAATTATACCTCGTTAATTTTGAGAAATATTTATTCGGCTTCAATTTAATATCATTGAAAAGGTTTATTTAGTCTTTGTGTGTAGCCTATGGCAGACATGAAACGGAGTAGAACCACATTACAAAATACTATACTATTTTGGGGATATGGCGGCCATTTAGGGCAGAGATCTATACTCGAAGACGATAGGTTTCTGTGTCCGCAATGCATGAAATGTGAACTGACCATTACGTCATCGACACTCGCGTGGAAACGAAAGGGGGTTTAACGTCCTACTGTTCTGCTCCAACTGAGTTAATGAAGACGGGGACACCTTCTTGGAATTGTGACATCATATCCGTCAATCGATGCACACTAATTATTGTGCAATGAATAAGCATGTAATACCGATTGTGCTCGAATTAATGGAGCCTAGACTTTTATCAAGAACTTCGCCACAAGATTACCCAGTAGGCCATATGTATCCATTTCCAGGTTCAAACATCATAATTATAATTTCAGTTGACTAGCGGTGTTGGATGGCCGAATGGTTAGCACGTGGGCGCTGTATCATAAGGTCTGTCATTGGGTCAACTGTTGTGGTTTCGATTCCCTGGTTGTATGTGGCAAGGAGAAGCGTTACCTGTCCAATCTCTTGGGTTTTCTCCCGGTCCTCAGGTTTGCTCCCACTGCTAAAGATGCCTACGCACAAGCAAATAATTGAAATAAAATAGAACCATATGTTAGTCCCGAAATGACCTAGTTTGTTTCGAGTATTTCCCTCTCTCTCTCTCTCTCTCTCTCTCTCTCTCTCTCCTAGGCGTCCATAGTATTTGTTATTATTTGTGTCAGATTAATTTCAATGTTCTTTTATTTCATTTTTTCATTCAAGTTTTAAACAAATTTTATGATGGTGTTCGAGAGAATGTAACTGGTCATTGTTACGGCCATCTTGTTATAGACTGCAAAACGCCGTTAAATTATCCAGGTAGGCTATGAAATGAATGTATGAAATGGGGTTTAACGTCCTACTGTTCTGCATCCAAACTAGGCTAATGAAGACGGGCATACGTCATACAGTGTGCTATGGGGGAAATTTTGCCCGGACAGTGGCACTACGGCCTACTCTTATATCGAATTCCAACTGTCAAGGCATCATTTACGTTAAAGCCAATGTATACACGGGACCTCGGTTTTTCGTTCGTCTCATCCGAACGACTAGACAGCTGTCCTTGTCAGGTCCTCCGCCCTGCATCACTGACAAGGAGAAGCCACGCCGGAAAATCTGGATGAACTTTCTCGTCCAGTGCAGAGATCGAACACCCGACCTCCAGACTAGCGAGCCAGCGTTATACCCACTTAGCCACCGTGGCCCCCTCTATAATGTATACAATTTATGTTTTTAAAATGTTACATTCTTCTGTAACGTTTGTATCGTCTCCCGTTGAAACCAATCCCATGTTACGATTGGTTGACCGTCAGTGTGAGTCAGAATAACAAGTCGGTTTTATTCATTTTTCCTGAAACTCAGACGTTCATGACAACAGCAAATCTGTCAGTCTAATTACTTTTGGATATTTTATAGACCGGAGGCTCAGTGCGCGGGGGTGTCCATCAAATAGGCACAAAATCAGACCCAACTTTTCTATTGTAAAATTTTGCGTAGAATACGATGCCGAGTGGTAATCAGTCCGTCGTAGGGGCGTTTGTGAGATATTCGACCTATCCTAACCCTAACACACAATCTCGCCAACAATCACGTGCCCTAACCTTATTTACATCTCAACGACCGTGACAAAAATTGAGCTGGCCTTAGCAAATAGATTCAGCCAAGTTTTTGAGTCAAAGTAAGAGAAACAACTCTCATAACAGATGGAGTCTAGATTCCATGTTTGTGTTTGATTATTTACAGGCGTAGAATACACTTGGTATAAAGATGATCTACCCCTTAAACGTGATATTGATATATTTCCATCACAGAATGGTCGACTTTATTTCTCTTATTTTCTGGAATCGGGGAGATTTGTATGTTCTGTTACCTTGAAGAAACCAGAAAGCGACGAGTCAGTACCACAAACAGAGAATAGTACGGCTACCAACGTCTTGTTTACTCTCCAAGGTGAGTAGGATTAAAATATATCGGATTATATTGAATTTTGCCATGAGTGGTGAGCTGTGTCAACAAGGATTTAGAATTCTTGCTATCAACGGCTTTTATACGTGCACGCCAATGTGTACACGAGACCTCGGCTTTTCGTCCCACCCGAACGACGAGACACCGTGCCCGAAAAATCCTTAGAAACAGCGAACCCGAGACCTCTTAGTTAGCGAGCCAGCTTCTTACTCCGTGGCACCATTTTTGCTTCGGAATGAAAGGGAGATAGAAACGGGGATTAACGTCCACTCGACACAAACTAGGTCATTTCGGGACTAACGTATGGCTCAATTTTATTTCAATACTTTGCGTGCACGTAGGGGTTTGTAGCAGTGGCGGAAACGCTGGAGGACCGGGAGAAAACCCTACTTTGTGTCACGTACAAGCGGGGAACCGAAACTACTCCACTTGACTCGATGACAGACCCTGTGATTCAACGCGTACGCGTCAACCATTCAGCTACCCAACGCCCCATCTTCTGAAAGAAGTTCTATTATGGATTTTGTTCTTACATAGACATTACATTTCCTGCTTTGTCGGATTTGTCCTCGTAGGTTTCCCTGGTCAGTGGAGCAGGGCAGAGAACCTAGCAAGGAACAAACTATAGTTGTTCGTTCGGATACGACATAATAGGGACCTTTCGCATCGGTACGAAAACGAATATGAAAACGAAAACGTCATCGAATCGTGTGTACTTGTGACGTCAATCCGTAATGAGTGTTCGGCCAGTGAAAAACGTTACGCGTCTCATATATTGAATTTTCCGCCATTTCTCGAGGCTTTGTGTATATTGTTGATTGTGTAGAGTTCGTAGAATGTTCTCAAAAGCAATATTCTGCTTGATTTGTTGTACATCTGCCAAACAATCGACTGAAAACATTGCCTTGACCGAGACATTCAAGGAGTGGAAATTAACGCCATCTAGCTATTATCGTACGTCGGATTGCCAAACCGCGTGTTAGAGGATACGAAAACGAAAACGTAAACGAACAAATGTTCGTTTTGGTGTTCGTTTTCGTACCGATGCGAAAGGACCCTAATACCACGGTTCCCTGTAAACATAACAGAACCCTTGACAGTTGAAACAAAACTTTCCTCATAGCCAGACTGGTACCAAAATGACCAATTTACTAAATAAATGCCCATGCCCGCACAATATTTAAAATATTTTCATTTAGATTTTACTTTCGGTTTTGTTTGTATTTGGAAATAGGTTCACAATACAACCGTCACACAAGCGTGATCCCACAATTCCCTGACGAATTTCCCGCCGTTTTCCCATATCCACCAATGGCAGGCGAAGATTTAAGATTAGAGTGTGCTGCTTTCGGACGGTAAGTAACATCTCCAACAGAAGTAGGGTACCCTACCATAAATAAATTAATATCCCCAAATATCGTGACAATTACACCACAATAGTTATATATATATATATACCAAGCCTTAAATCAGTTTCGCCCATTTATAGTCACTAAATAAATGGTCGTGTTGTACTTAATAATATAAGCTATGACCATTTAACCATTCATAAATAATAGACTGAAAAATGGTTACAAGTGTCGGTCACTTTTGAGGAAAAAATAGGTTACATGCCCTTGTTTTGATCTCGCTTTAGCCCCGTAATTGTATCAAGGTCTTAACATAATATTGTTGTAGAACGCGTAGTCGTTGCTATGGTAACATGGGTAAGTAAATGAGTAGAAAAGAAATAAATATGAAATGGGGTTAAACTGCCTACTGTTCTGCTTCGACTGGGCTAATTAAGACGAGCATACTCCATACAGTGTGCTTTGAGGGAAATTTTGTCCGGGCAGCTGCGCCAAGGCCTGCACTTTCATAATATTAAGATGGTCATGGGATCTTTTACGTGTACCTGGGACCTCGGTTTTTCGTCCCATCCGAACTAATATACGTTGTCCCTTGTCGGGCACTCTATGTCCTTTACCACTGACAAGGTGGAAAAATCATGATGAAAGTTTTGGTCAACACAGGGATCAAACACAGGACCCTCAAGGCTAGCGATGCAACGCCTTAGACGCTGGACCACCATGACTCTCTCTATTTGATTTAGTTTTACACAACGTGAGAAATAGAGTGCCAATATTCATTGTGGAACATGCTAGAGACGATATGTAATATATTTGAGTACATAGTTTAGCTGATATGATTATGACGTAGGGTATATTGCTACATAATATTAAAGCGACTGTGGTTTATAATTGTGAAATGAAATGGGGTTTAATGGGATTAGATTTTCAGAAAGGCTCAATTGTTCTTAACAACATGGGGGTTGGGTGACCGAATGGTTAGCACGTGCGCGCTGTATCATGAGGCCTGTCACTGAGTCAACTGCCATGGTTTCGAATCCCCGGGAGTACGGTTTCCTCCCACTGCTAAAGACCCCTACGTGCAAGCGAATTATTGAAATAAAATTAAACCATATGTTAGTTCCGAAATGACATACTCTCATGTAGACAAAAGACATGTTATATTAATTCGATGGCAAACAATTACATACTCAAATGACTTATTTTAACTGTAGAAGCCAAAAAGATAATCTATCAGATTAATCATTTTAAAGTTGAACAGAACTTTTGTTTATCAACTGATTTTGATAAAACTTTCAGAATATGCACCAAATGACTCAATTTATCGCTTGTCATTGGAATTTTACATGATTGCAAAGTCACTTTAAAAGAAATCTAGGTCAAATATCAAATTTCTATTGCGATAATCGCTTGCGAACAGTGAATGCTTTCCAAAAATTTCAAGCTATTGACATTCGGATGAAAATTGTAAGACGAATAGGGTTTTGAAGATTGATTTACATTTCAAAATGGTGGCACTTCCGGTGAATTTTAACTTTATGAGATTACTCTAGAAAGTTGATAAACGATTCGTATTGACAAATATTTTTAAATAAGGCAAAATTATAGAAGTTGAAAATCTGACCCCATCTTCAAAAGGGAGATAATCGGAACATTTTTGTTGACATATTTGGCTTAATCCAGCCATTTGTAATGTATTCAGGAAAGTTCCAAGTCGAAATCTTCAAAAATAAAAAAAAGTTACGCTCAGAATTTTCACTCTTAAAATTGAGTTATACGCATGCGTCGTAAGGGCCACAATGTCCGAAAATAAAAGTAGAGAAATACAAACAGCTACAAATTGGTGAACACGGCATTCAAATTGGTTGAAAAACAAAAAAGTTTCTTTTGATATCTATGTCCTATTTTCGTCGATGACGTCACCTTCTGATATCATTTTTAAAGTTTTAGTTATTCATTCAACTTTTGAACTAAATACCTTTCGGATATTATAGAATTGAATTCTGTAGAACATATACTTTTTCCCAAAAACGCGAGGGATAAAAAAAAAATTATCCGAAGAAAAACAATAATAGTATAGAAACTAGAAAGACAGGGGTACGCTATACGCCCTGATTTTTCTTCAAACCCATGAATCAAAGCGCTTCCTGCTGGTTAGAAGAAGTTTGGTCGGATAACGTACACTCGATACAAACTAGGTCATTTCGGGACTAACATATGGTTTAATTTTATTTCAATAATTCGCTTGCGCATAGGGGTCTTTAGCAGTGGGAGGAAACCGGAGGAACCGGAGAAAACCCACGAGGTTGGACAGGCGACCCTACTCCTTGTCACGTACAACCGGGGATTCGAAACCACGCCAGTCGACTCAATGACAGACTTTATGATACAGCGCGCGCACGCTAACCATTCAGCCACCCCCCCCCCCCCCGGGTTCAAGGGAAATTAGCTTACCACCCAAAAGACCATGAAGAACACATTCATTGTCCAGAATATTCTAGTCAACTGCTCGATTGATAACTATCAAAGAAATTGGGCCTGGGAAATACCATTCGAGCTTACGCATGCGTCCCTAAAATCGTTATCTTTTTTCGAGATCAGCAAGCTTTGACTAGATGACCGAGTCTAAACATCATAGACCGTGATAAGCCTTTATGGTGACCTCGAATTGAAATGGAATATAATGTTTATTCATTTTGCCCGTTTTCAGAGCCACGACCTATATTCTTGGACGAAAGGTGAAGACGTATTACCTGAAAACATACCATATACTATTTAGTTGTATAACCATCTTCTTGTTTTCAGAGTCGAGTCCTATTCTTGGACAAGAGAGGGTGGAGGACTACCTGCTAATGTACGATATGAACTGGATAATCACGTATTAGTCATACCAAACGCCAAGATGGAAGATAGCGGTCTTTATACCTGTACAGCCCATGGCCGTTATTTATTAACACCAGGAGAATATGATAACCATAAATCATATAATTTGACTGTTCAAGGTATTTATGAGAGAGAGAGAGAGAGACAGAGAGAGACAGAGGGGGAGGGGGAGAGAGAGACAGGGTTTAACGTCCACTCGACAGAAACTAGGCCTTTTCGGGACTAACATATGTTTTTTAATTTCATTTCAATAATTCCCTTGCGCGTAGGGGTCTTTAGAAGTGGGAGGAAACCAGAGGACCCGGAGAAAACCCACGAGGTTGGACAGACGACCCTACTCCTTGTCACGTACAACCGGATTCGAAACCACACCAGTTGACTCAAAGACAAGCCTTATGATACAGCGCGCGCACGTGCTAACCATTCGGCTATCCGACCCCCGAGGTATGTATGAGAGAGATTTGTTTTGTTTTATACCTTCGATGGCCTACACTACATGAAGATCTGGCCAGTTGTAGTGGGAGATCGCGTCAGGGGTCTTACGAGCAGCTTTTGACCACATGACGTCAGATATTTGATTAACCAATCAGCGTTGATGTTTCTAGAAGGATACCAACAGTTCCGTGCATCACAACAGACCGTTTCATTGGCTAATGCCTCTCATCAACCAGAACTGGGGTTATATAGCAACTTTTCCAGATCTTAGTGTAGTAAAGACCAGTAAAACGAAATTTTGAACTATGAAAAAAAAAACGAAATAGGATCTGTGTTTTAATCAGATTGACAATAAAGGAAAACGTCATACATACAGTGTGCTATAAGGGAAAGCGCCATACAGTGTGCTATAAGGGAAAACGTCATACAGTGTGCTATAGGGGAAAATGTCATACAGTGTGCTATAAGGGATACTTTTCTTTTAATTCCATGGGTTCAAGGGGGAGAGAGAGAGAAATGGGGTTTAACGTCCACTCGACACAAACTAGGTCATTTCGGGACTAACACATGGTTCAATTTTATTTCAATAATTCGCTTGCGCGTAGGGGTCTTTAGCAGTGGGAGGAAACCGGAGGACCCGGGGAAAACCCACGAGGTTGGACAGGCGACCCTACTCCTTGTCACGAACAACCGGGGATTCGAAACCCCGCCAGTTAACTCAATGACAGACCGTATGATACAGCGCGCGCATGCTAACCATTCGGCCATCCACCCCCCCCCCCCCTTTGGCAGTGGGAGGAAACCGGAGGACCTGGAGAAAACCCACGAGGTTGAACATGCAATCCTACTCCTTGTCATGTACAACCGGGGATTCGAAACCCCGTCAGTTGACTCAATGACAGGCGTAATGATGCAGCGCGCACGTGCTAACAATTTTGAGACTAACATGCTAATTTACCTGAATCGTATTTTATCTATAAATATTAAATAACGCATATTTAGAATTCAGCTAAATCATGTTTTACCCAAATATTAAAATTCAGCTAAAGCATACTTTACCTCGATATTACATTACGTCTGTATATTTCAGCTAAACCGTATTTTACCCAGATATTAAATTTCAGCTAAACCATAAACCGTATTTTACCAAAATATTAAATTACATCTGTATATTTCAGCTAAATCATATATTACCACAATATTAAATTTCAGCTAAACCATACTTTACCCAGATATTAAAGGATGAACGTGTAACTGAGGGTAGTAAAGTATCATTTCGGTGTGAAGCTAAAGGAGAACCTGCGCCATCTTATAGATGGATTAAGAATGAACAGATTATACGACCTATAAAATGGGATATCGATATAAAAGATAATGTTTTAACGATCCATGCAGCGTATGAACGATATGGAGGCCTGTATCAATGTCAGGCTACAAACATCCATGGTTCAGTATATACTAGTGCACAGTTGCGAGTATCAGGTAGGTTTTATCACCACGAGTATTGTACACAACATAGTGTATATTGCATGCACAACGAGAGAGAGAGAGAGAGAGAGAGAGAGAGAGTAACGTCCACTCGACACAAACAAGGTCATTTTGGGACTAACACATGGTTCAATTTTATTTCGGCAGTAAACCGAAAATACAGCCCCCCCCCCCCTTCCTCCCACTATCATTGGGCATAATGTTTCGTTGCCTGGCAATCTTTGTTTCTGACTTAAGAATATCTAATTTCAGATGTTAAAGTGATTGGTTAATGAGTTGATGAGTACCATGGTATTATTCACCAGAGTAGAAGCTATTTTTTAGTGTCAAATGAGAACTGGATGAATAATGGATATATTTCTGATCTTAATTAACCATACATTATGCAAGAGCTAAATCTGCCTACTGAAGGTCTTTCTTTAGGCCTGAAATGTTTTCTAATTTATTAATTACACATTAATTAACTTATTCAGGCCATAATCAATTCTCGATGGCATAGTTCAGCCATATTTTGATTTAAGCTAAAAATGGAGTAGTGAGACTTACCCTCGAACAACCAGTCCGTTTGTTGAAATTATTGCACACGTCTGTCAAACCTTCAAAGGGTAATATCTTCGCTTGCAATAGAGTAATCTGAATGAAAATTTCAAATTATTCATTTTGCATTATCTATTTTCGAACTATTATAGCAAGAATGGCTAGCTCTTTATCTAAATCTTAAATAATGTATCTTTAATCAGGAGAAACAGTCAGATGATGATTAATATTATTTAAATCGTTTTCTTGTAGACAAATTTGTGATAGATTTATTAAATTTTGCATATTTTCATTTGACTTGTTGTTATTGTTTCGTTGAGCTCATAATCCTATAACGGTAAATCTCATTGATCATTGGGGTATATTCTATGCCCGGAATAACTTGCGGTCTGAAAGCCGTGGGCGGCTTTGAATATATACAGGGGAATTTAAATCTGTAACGGGTTATTCTTCCAGGGTAGGGGTTATTTTCCATAAGAAAACATGATATAAGGAATTCTGGGATATTCTCATTTTACGTACATGTAAAAAATAGACGATATATAAGCATAATAAAGTCCTTGACTTCAATTATGCTGTTGCCCCCCCCCCCCCCTACAATGGGAATCTTATACACATATTTAGAGATGTGCAGCGAAATTAAAAAGTAACGTTTTAATCAAGCTCTAAGAAAATCATCATTTAAATCAATTCATTTCCAGCCAAATTTTTACCCCCCCACCCTTCCACACCGGCAACCCCCACCCCCCACAAATCAAAACAATTGTCCAGGGGCATAATATACACTTATTTAGACATGGACAGTCCTAGAAATTTATGTTTTATTAATATATAACCTGATTATCATTTACGTCAACATAATGACATTTCCTCTCAATTGTAGGTAGGCATTGGACCCCTATATCTCGAAACGCCTGATCACATTTTGCCAATACCTCCGCCCCAATAAAATAGGAATCTATACACATATTTAGAGATTTGCAGCGGAATTAAAAAGTAATGTATTTATCAAGCTCTAAGAAAATCATCATTTAAATCAACGTGAACTCATTTCCCGCCAATTTTACCCCCCCCCCCCCTTACACACACTCACAGCTGTAACCACCTACCCCACCTCGCAATCAAAACAGTTGTCCAGTGGCATCATAAACACTTATTTAGAGATGAACAGTCCTAGAAATTTATGTTTTATTAATATATAACATGATCATCATTTACGTGAACATAATCACATTTTCCCCCAATTGTAGACATTGGACCCCCCATATCTCGAAAACGCCCCCTCAAACGCCTGATCACCTCCCATATTCGGAATCTACGCAAAACACTGGTCTAGAAAAACTTGGCCTCATAAATTCACAGCTCGGGTGGCGATCCCCCCCCCCCTCCCCGTTCAGCCACCGGACTAATACATGTGGGGGGAGGCGGTAGGTCATTGAGTAAGGTTAGAAAGGCAGAAACTCGACGGGGTTAGAAAGACAGGCCTAGTATCTGAGATATACTCTCATTAATTAATTTATTATACACAAAAATATTTTTCTTATTGCTCATCATTTACAGATAGCATGATTATAGAGTTTATATACATTTCATTTAATCTATTGAATTACAATTAATAAGAGTTTATATATATTTCATTTAATCGACTGAATTACAATTACAATGTAATTAGGAAATCTTCAGATTACAGCGTCTAACCAATAAACACAGGTCTTCATCTTTGCTTACCTACAATAAAACAAAATGGGATTATCTAATATTGTTTTGTATCTGCCTCGCAATAAGAAAGGATAAAATAGTTTCAAATCGAATAGTGAAATAAATATCCACTTATATCTGACATTCGCTTTCGTCACAATACCGGTAATGACGTTTCCTTTCGTCACAATACCGGTAATGACGTTTGTTTTTTATTGATCGATTTAAAGGCTCAATACCACTCTTGTTGTAACTGAGAGAGAGGGAGAGAAATGGGGTTTAACGTCCACTCGACACAAACTAGGTCATTTCGGGACTAACATATGGTTTAATTTTTATTTCAATAATTCGCTTGCGCATAGGGGTTTTTAGCAGTGGGAGGAAACCGGAGGACCCGGAGAAAACCCACGAGGTTGGACAGGCGACCCTACTCCTTGTCACGTACAACCGGGGATTCGAAACCACACCAGTCGACTCAATGACAGACTTCATGATATAGCGCGCGCACGCTAACCATTCAGCCATCCAACCCCCCTTGTTGTAACTGAATAATATGTAACAGGCATAGTCTGAGTAGAGCGAAGCTGATGTGATTGTTGTTAAATATAAAACCTTCATAATTAAGTTTCTCAAGTGATACAAAAAATGTTAAATAATCTCGTTTTTCCGAATTGAATTAGGTTTTTAAACAGCGACTGTTTAGAATTTAGAGGACTGTTATTGTCCATTTGATACCGCTTAAATCATTAGAGGCCGAGATCGCAACGAATGCGATATTTTGTAATGAGTGAAGTTGAAAAAATGACAGACAAATTGTACTTTGCATAATATTTTAATTTGTAAATATCATTGTATTTCATAAAACGAGACATTTGGTGGCGATTCAATTCCTTTACAAACCAATATTTTATTATTTAGTAGTAGCCGAGACAGAGACCTTCCTGATCTAGACAAGTGTTGAATGCAAAACACTAAATTGGTTGACAAATGTGTAAAATTTTCTTAGTAATATACACATTAAACAAAGTTAATTAAATCACACTTTATAGTATAAAACTCCGGTAGCAATATACAAGACCCTAATCACACCATTTATTGTTAATTAATGACAAGCCTAGTAATCCAATAAATAATCAGATCCAATCACACAAATTCCCTGTTGTGGCTGTCAGTAAGATCTGAGTAATTTTCATGTAGTAATATAGTACACTTTCCTAGATATCACCTACCTGTTTACTTGTGTTAAAATTGAGCCTATAAATCTATTATGTTTTTTTCTGTACAAGGTAGGATAAACATTTTGATTGCTTTTATATACATCATATTTGAAATAACCGATTACCATTGCTACTGTATTTGTATGGTTTAAATAATTACACACAATATATGTATAATGGATTCGGATTTCCTTTATGCTACTGTATTGCATTGCTAGTATTAGTTTTCAAATTTGTATGACTTATTGAAATTAGCATAAATTGGTTTAAACAGTATATCTACGTATAATTACACACAATATATAGGCTATAATGGATTCCGAAACAAGCTATGAAGTTTATAAAATAAAATAAAAATGATCTGTTTAAATTGCATAAAACGTATAATAATTTACATAAGGTTAATGAGATAATCTCTGTTAATATAGTAACTGTGACATAAAAAAAATGGAATATAAACATAAATAACGTAGGCCTACATAAAAGCACATAATTATAGGCACGCTATAGCCTAGATAAAACTCCTTTAAACTTAATTTAATATCAAAACCTCAGTTTCTAGTATTTTTTATCGTGTGGTCCGAATCAGCCTAGTGGTGGTCCCAATCAGCCTGGAATGTGGTTCCAAGCAGCCTGGAATGTGGTCCCAATCAGCTTTGACTTTTGGTCCCAATCAGCCATGATCCCAATCAGCTTGTTTACGTTGTCATTTCGACGCTTTGATTTTTTTTTCTTCGCAAAATACCCTGGCTTGTGTTTAGGGTGGCCACCTTTGCTTGATCATATTGCGGGACATTATCTTTTTTGCATAACAATGTTGATATAATTTTTTATAGTCACTTCACTTTTCGTCATAGCAACAATAGAAAATCAAACCATGAAATATTCACACAAGCTTGGTTTGTATTCGTATGTCATTTGATATTTAGGATAATAATACATAGCAACAATAAAAATTCAAGTCAATATAAATTTCTATTGTAGCTGTAATAATACCCTTCTTTCATTTAAACAAAATATATAAATTATTAATCTGTGCGACAGAACTGTTTGAAAGGCTGCGTGTAATATATCATGGCGTTGAATGAAATTTTTAAGTTACAATCAAATGACTGACGAATTATCATCCATGTATCGCTAAAATTAAATCAGGCAGGTCGAAGGTATTGAAACGTTTTGAGATTTTATCGCTAATGTTTAATCATGCTGAAAAATAATGCCGAAGGTAGTGAAACGTTTTGAGATATTATCGCTTAAGTTTAATCATGCTAAACATTGTGAAAACAACTGATTAAAATTTTATAATAACTTTTATAAAGGATGTTATGCTGGTTAAAGATGCATAATTTAAGAGCTGGGTGGGTTGGGTGGCCGAATGGTTAGCACGTACAAGCTGTATCATAAGGTCTGTCATTGAATCAACTGTTGTGGTTTCGATTCCCCGGTTGTACGTGACAAGGAGTAGGGTCGCGGTCACCTGTCCAACCTCGTGCGTTTTCGCCGGGTCTTCTGGTTTCCTCCCACTGCTAAAGACCCTTACACGCAAGCGAATGATTGAAATATTCGAGACTTAGTCTCGCTTTCCCATTTTTAAATTAAATTTTTAAATGGCGAACCGTTAAAATCTCGAGTATCCAATGCCATCGAGAATTGATTATGGTCTTGTTTTGTTAGTAAATGTCTAATTAAAGTAGCTAAGTCTCTAACTCAATATCAACCAAAATCTTCGACATTGAAAACATGATTTATTTGTCGGTTTAAATCAACACTGATGTTGTGATCTCACGGGAAAGATGGCCTTCTGATATCCAATATTTAAGACAAAATATACATTTTACAATTGGTACACGAATCGTGTACCATAATGCGTTTCAGCGCTATTTGTAATAAGGGGCTAGAAAAACGAGGCTAGGCATATTCCACAAGTCATGTCAAACGGTGACGTTATATTCTTATCTGGAGAGCAAGCCCAATAGATAATAGCGGCGTAGACTGGAATAACCAGACGCTAGAGATTGAAATTCGATGGAGAATACTGGCGTATTTCGCCGAACCTAACTGATTAAAAATTACAGTAAAAACAGAAACGATTGAATATAAATCAATTTATATACATTCATATTACATTATTGTATGCGTTGCGACCCATTTGTGTCAATTTCTAGGTCCCAAATATTAGCGACTTAGCTCCTTTAATGGTTCATATAACATTTCAAGCCTAAAGAAAGACCTGCAAAAGACAGATTTAGCTCTTGCATAATGTATGTTTAAACTATTATTGCAAGAACTGTCAGCTCTTTATCTAAATCTTACGTAATGCATTTTTAACTTTCCCTGGTTGATCACCATGTCATGCTATATTAATAATACAAGATACCTTTACACCATCCTCTGTTATACGTCAATAGATATATTTGAATTTTAATAATTCAGAGATGGCAAAGCGAAAGCGATTGTAATTGATACTTCATTAAACCAAGTATACATATCAAAATAAAGGAATAAGCAATTCGATACATCCGTTGTCTTCCAGTAGTTTTTTTATTATATAAAATAGAAATACATAAGTCTTTGGTCACATCAAATGCCCCAGTAGTCAGCTAATGTTGTTTGTTTATGTGATTCACAATGTAACAAATACTAGTATTTATTTAATTCATTGGGTAAGGGGGGGGGGGGGGGTTGGGTGGCCCATTGGTTAACGCATGCAGTTATTTACGGTCCATACGGGGTTCAATAAATTGTAGTATTTTTATTGACTTGTTGAAAATCTTCGATTTGGACCAGTCTGATTATGATAGAATATGACCATAGCAACCATTATGGTCAGACCAGCCTTGAAATGAAATTTACCCATTATATTTCAAATACACTCACTATCTTTGTTTTTTGTGTTTCAGGTGTGTGTTTCAATGAGCCAATGGTTGAATTTCATTGTTGATCACATACAAGAAAAAGGTCATGAAGATTTCCTAGAATAAAGTTTTGAGGTGTAGAATTTTTGGCCACTGCAAACAGAGTCTAGCACACAAAAAATATTCATTCGCAGTGAGTCGCCCAGGAAATTTAGAGGACTGTTATTCTCATTCGACGCCACTTTTCGACCAATCAAAATCCAATAAATTTCCATTTTGGGCTACAATTTAATATAGATCTAAATTATATGATTAATTTTGTTAAAAAAAGAACAAAAAAGTGTGAGAATTATTTTCATTGACGTCAGAAATATGTGACGTCATTGATGAAACGCGTCATAAAAATATTTCTATGAGTCGCGTAATCTCGCCCAAGCGAGATTTGGTAAGATGGCATGCGCATTGCCATTTTTCCCCAGTGTATCCGGTTCCGGTCTAATTTTTTTTTTAATCAACAGTCTGTGGTGACAGTTTTAGTGACTCTCCTGTGTTACCGGAAAAGAGCTTTGCTCAAGCACCGCTCTAATATAGAGCGAAGCTCTAAAGCACCGCGCAAAGCGCGGTGCTTGAGCAAAGCTCTTTTCCGGTAACACAGGAGCGTAATTGAAAATGTCACCCACAGACTGTTGATTAAAAAAAAATTCAGCCGGAACCGGATACACTGGGCAAAACAGGCAATGCGCATGTCAACTTACCAAATCTCGTCCAAGCGAGATCACGTAACTAACAAAAATAATTCTATCCACCAAATCTCGCCCAAGCGAGATTACGCGCCTCATAGAACTATTTCTATGACGCGTCTAATCAATGACGTCACATATTTTTTACGTCAATGAAAATAATTCTCACACTTTTTTGTTCTTTTTTTAAAAACAAAATTAATGTATAAAATTTAGATCTCAATAAAAACTAAATTATTTAATATTTTTGTATCACTTGAGAAAATTAATTATGAATGAAGGTTTTATATTTGACAATAATCAGCTTCGCTCTACTCAGGCAATGCCTGTTACATTTTATATTTGACAATAATCAGCTTCGCTCTACTCAGGCAATGCCTGTTACATATATGTAACAGGCATTGCCTGAGTAGAGCGAAGCTGATTATTGTCAAATATAAAACCTTCATAATTAATTTTCTCAAGTGATACAAAAAATGTTAAATAATTTTGTTTTTCAAAAGTGATTTTTATTTAGATCTAAATTTTATACATTAATTTTGTTTTTAAAAAAAGAACAAAGAGGTGTGAGAATTATTTTCATTGACGTAAAAAATATATGACATCATTGATTAGACGCGTCATAGAAATAGTTCTATGAGGCGCGTAATCTCGCTTGGGCGAGATTTGGTGTGTAGAATTATTTTTGTTAGTTACGTGATCTCGCTTGGGCGAGATTTGGTAAGTTGACATGCGCATTGCCTGTTTTGCCCAGTGTGCTTGAGCAAAGCTCTTTTCCGGTAACACAGGAGCGTAATTGAAAATGTCACCCACAGACTGTTGATTAAAAAAAAATTCAGCCGGAACCGGATACACTGGGCAAAACAGGCAATGCGCATGTCAACTTACCAAATCTCGTCCAAGCGAGATCACGTAACTAACAAAAATAATTCTATCCACCAAATCTCGCCCAAGCGAGATTACGCGCCTCATAGAACTATTTCTATGACGCGTCTAATCAATGACGTCACATATTTTTTACGTCAATGAAAATAATTCTCACACTTTTTTGTTCTTTTTTTAAAAACAAAATTAATGTATAAAATTTAGATCTCAATAAAAACTAAATTATTTAATATTTTTGTATCACTTGAGAAAATTAATTATGAATGAAGGTTTTATATTTGACAATAATCAGCTTCGCTCTACTCAGGCAATGCCTGTTATATGTAACAGGCATTGCCTGAGTAGAGCGAAGCTGATTATTGTCAAATATAAAACCTTCATAATTAATTTTCTCAAGTGATACAAAAAATGTTAAATAATTTTGTTTTTCAAAAGTGATTTTTATTTAGATCTAAATTTTATACATTAATTTTGTTTTTAAAAAAAGAACAAAGAGGTGTGAGAATTATTTTCATTGACGTAAAAAATATATGACATCATTGATTAGACGCGTCATAGAAATAGTTCTATGAGGCGCGTAATCTCGCTTGGGCGAGATTTGGTGTGTAGAATTATTTTTGTTAGTTACGTGATCTCGCTTGGGCGAGATTTGGTAAGTTGACATGCGCATTGCCTGTTTTGCCCAGTGTATCCGGTTCCTGTCTGAATTTTGTTTTAATCAACAGTCTGTGGGTGACTTTTTCAATTTCGCTCCTGTGTTACAGGAAAAGAGCTTTGCTCAAGCACCGCGCTTCGCGCGATGCTTTAGAGCTTCGCTCTATAATATGTAACAGGCCAATTTTTATTCTGGTCAACAACTTTTACTATTTTACAATATTCTAATTAATTGATGATACAAATTTCATCTTAACACACCTTATTTAAAAAAATGGAAAAATTCAACTAAATGATTTGAAAGCCTAACGTAAAGCTTTTCAAATGTGACTTGGATTTAAAAATATTTTCGAACCCTCTGGACAAGTAAAATAGGATTTAATGGATAATTTACACAACAGGTAGGATTCTTAAACATCTAATACTTAGAATAAGGCTCTTATTTATTTTCTGGAGCTCTCAAGCCAGCAAAAGTGTTATTGTCACTTTAAAGATGCGTTATTGTAACGCTAAATCTGTCTATTCCCATTGGAGGTCTTTATTTTGGCTTCAAATGTTATATAGACTAATATTTAAACATATCTTCAAATGACAAGCCTATAATCAACTATCTAGAACATCAGATGGCAGAGATTTAAATGGATTAGAACGCCCACGAAATTATAAATTAACGATAAAATGGATAATCGAGACTTAGTCTCGTTTGTCCGGGTCCGTTACTATAATAAGAAACAATCTACGCTACAGTTTCCAACACTCATAACTTCGAGAAACAACAGTTCAGGTGCGATGACTGACTTTTATTTTTGTAAGCAAGGTAGAATTGGTAATCACAATATTCCCCACTCTGGAGAATACCAACTTGCTCTCTGAATTTAATCGAGGTTATGCCCAATCGGAGCGAGGTCTGATCTTTCATATTAATTTTATTCCATGGACAACAAGGTATTTAATTAATTAATTGGAATTAATTGGTTGAATATTCCCAACAATACTAAAGGATTGACCAAATATAGACTATGTTAACAACAACTGACAATGAATCGACAACCGGTCTGAATTCAGATGCATTTTATTTACGCTATTTGTTGGTGACAGATGCGTCTACAAACAAGATAATTGAGAAATAAGAATCATCATTTGTAAACAAATTAATTACTTTTTAATATAGCGTAACAGACAAATCTAACTCCGCCATGTTATAATTATATACTGTGTTTACTACATAGGAGAAGTCAGAAAGGTAAGCGTACCGTCCCACACCTAACAACCGTTACTATAGCGATGGTCAAAAACAAATACGTTCCTGATGAAATGCTTGCCTGGCGATCGAATGTTCCATTTAAACCAAATTTTATAATATTGATTCCAGTTGGAATAGAATGTTTCGAGTTTCAATGATGAAGGCATTTTCTCCATGGTGATTGACTGAATTTTTAATGAAGACGGGCCATTTTGCCGTGAAGTCCCATGTAACATTGGCGTGTACGTAAAAGGACCTTTGACAGTTAGAATTCGAAATAAAGAGTAGACGTTATAACCGCTGTCCGGACACAATTTCCCTCATAGCACATTGTATGGCATATGTCCGTTAAAACCCATTTCATTTCATTTTGGTCATCCGCGAATGTTGTGCAAAGTTATTAATAGCATTTTTTGTTGGCGTTTTCATATAAAATCGAATTTTCTGCCAGGTTTTGGTGAATATTCATCATTTTGAATTGGAAGGATAACAAAGTTAAAAGTTATATTATGTTGAACTGTAGGGCGAATAGTTGCATGTTTATGGTATGCTACTTCCAGTTCTACATCTCAAGATTCAATGGCGAACCTCAAAATATGCTTTTGAACAAAACGTTGTCAAGAGTGGTGGAAGGCGTTCTACCCTACGAACATTTTGGGAAAAGTTTTAGCCGGTGAAAGAGATGAGAATTAACAAATTAATGGTGTACTGTCGTAATCCTCGTATTTCTCCGCACTTTCCATCACACATGATTTGCTAAAAGTAAACATATATTCACACCTACCTAACCCTTGCACCTCAGATTTCCCACGGTATAATATGCGTACTCTTGACTGTGCCCTGTCAAAATATAAACAAGATAAAAACAGAGAGAGAGGGGGTGGGGGCGGTGTCAGATCACATTTTACCGTTGCCATTGACTACATCAATTATTTGCACAACGGGACGAGAGAGAGGGAGAGAGAGAGAAAGAGAGAGAGAGAGAGAGAGAGAGAAAGATATGAACTGTATAATCGAGTATTAGTCATACCAAACGCCAAGATGGAAGATGGCGGTCTTTATACCTGTAATGGGTTTAACGTCCACTCGACACAACCTAGGGCATTTCGGGACTAACATATGGTTTAATTTTATTTCAATAATTCACTTGCGCATAGGGCTTGTCAGATCACATTTTACCGTTGCCATTCACTACATCAATTATTTGCACAACCGGGACTATTTTGTAAAATACTGGACTTTCTAAAAGAGGCAAAATTTTATAATAAATACTATATAAATGTAACTTGCTTTTTCGTTTATCTATTTATATACACGAAATGTGCAATATATATTTTTAAATTATATATATTATCTGTTATACTTATTATTTTTGTGTATTTAAATATATTAATGTGATAATGTTTAAATTCGCTATATGTTTGGCGCAATATAACCCGACCGGTGCTATTAAACATTATTTTATTTTTTTCACATTGGTGTGTATGTCTTAGATTCCTTGGCGGTTGGAATTCGAAATAAGAGTTGGTCGTAGCGCCGCTGTCCGGCCAAAATACCTCTCATAGTACACTGTATTAACAATTGAAGATATACCTACCCGTATCGCCTACTAAAATGGCGGTTATCGGCAAATCTTCCTTATATCGAATATACCCCTCGTCAACTCGCAATTGCTCATCATTGTTCTCACAGTTGCACTTCAAATCATTAGCGCACATATTACTGATATGGCATGCGCAGTCTATTTGACCCTTGACACCTCCAATTAAATAAGTAGCTAGTTCGCCAGTTCGTGTGGTTAAGCCAACATCACTGACTATGTGAACATGGTAACATTCAAATTTAATGAATTGTTCACATTCAGCCGATGCATCAGCTATGTTTATAACTTGATGAAGATCAATGTTGTAGTTAATAGTGCCATTATAACTTCTAGATGCTTCATAGCCATGTACATATGTTCTGTTAGATCCATGACCTGTAATATATCACATAACATGTTACATATGATCTACTAGCTTCATCATGACTAATTACATAACACATACCATGCTACACGTGTTTTATTAGAGACATTGTGGCATTCAACCCGTTACATGTCTTTTTTGAGCTCCATCATAACCTATACTATAACACATAACATGTTACATATGTTGTATTAGTGACATCATAACCTATACTATAACACATAACATGTTACATATGTTGTATTAGTGACATCATAACCTATACTATAACACATAACATGTTACATATGTTGTATTAGTGATATCATGACCTATAACATAACACATAACATGTTACATATGTTGTATTAGTGACATCATGACCTATAACATAACACATCACATTACATGTGTTATTAGCTACATCGTGACGTGGTTTCTATTGTCTGTATCTCGACCTCTAACATAACACATGACCTACTACATGTGCTTTATTGGCGACCTCCAAGGACAGCTGTCTAGTCGTTCGGATGGGGCGAAAAACCGAGGTACCGTGTACACATTGGCGTGCACGTAAAAGATCCCTTGGCAGTTGGAATTCGATATAAGAGTAGGCCGTAGCACCGCTGCATGTGTTTTATTGGCGACATTATGATCTATAACATAACACACAACTCGTAACATATATACGCGGTCATATATTTGAAGATCCCGATCATTACCTCCTGCGATGTTCCTTACATTCAATTGCACGAACAGAAACCATAGACAAATTACAACAGGATTTTAAAAATATAAACTGTCTTTTATTCGGCTCCACAGCCTACAGTCTTGATGTTATTTCTAATATTTTTAATCGGGTCCATAAATTTATAGATATATCAAACAAATTCTAATCTCATCTCGATCAAATAATATTTTATCTTCTCTTTTATGTATGTATAGTCTCTCTAATGCTGATTATTATTAAAAGATTCTTACTGTGCTTGCATATGTATAATTATTAACTACTATATATACTGTACATTTTCACCCATTTTATTATATCTATATAATATGTATGTGTTTGCCATTTTAACTATGTATATACACCCTTTTGGATTAATAATATATATGTATATACAAATAATTTAGGGAGAGGGGTTTTACATAGGCTAAGCCTGTTCCCCAATCCCATTCAGTCAAACTGAATAAAAATATGTTTTAAAAAAAAAAACTCGTAACAGGTGTTCTTTTAGCAACATCATAACAAAAGAAAGCTGCACGTGTTTTGAGAACTACATCATGGCATGCAATATAACACATTAAAATGGTTTCCCAGTGGTCTCATTCCGTTCTACTCCACTAACGCCAGGGTTCATCCACGGGGGAGATACGTATTCAAATTATCGGCCCTTGATGATTGTGCTATTTTTATCGACCAATCGAAAAAATCGTTAAATATATAAAAACTGACATAAAAGCATCTTTATCACCAAAAACATATTTTAGAACATCTTTTTAATATTAAATTTCATGCAAACTGTCTCTTAACCGAGCGAACAAGCCGCCATATTGTTGCAAACGTAAACAATGAGGCTAAGAATGGTTTGTAAACCATTTTTTGATGGTTTCCTAGAATCAAGGGCAGATAATTGGAATACGTGTCTTCCCCATGGATAACCCCGGGGTTAGGGGTTTGTCGAGTGGAACGGAATGCCACCGATTATGGTTTGTAGGGTGATATATCTAGGTTTTAACAAGAATTACCTATAACTGTATAAACACCATAGTCTGTAACTTCACAAGATACAGTTACAGCTGGTTGTTTGATATCCGGTCTAACGACTAGCGTAGGTGTAACTGGTACTCCCAGTTGATGAGCTTCATCACATGTCCTGGCTATAATAATAACAATGATAATAATAATAAGGAATGAAATAAAATGTGTTTAAAGTCCTACTATTCTGCTCCAACGATGCCTATGGAGACCGGCATACGCCATGTAATGTACCCTAGTTTCACACGAAATCCCAGCTGCCAAGCGATGCTTTACGTGCACGCCAATGTGTAAACAACCCTCGGTTGTTCGTTCCATCCGAACGAGTATATGCCTTCCTGGCCAGGCCCTCAGCCTAAACAGCGATCAGGTTAGCGAGGCAACGTCTTTTTTTGTAAATTTATTTATTCACAAAATATATAAACTACATAATTCATTTTCATTCACAGGCAAAGGCTTACTCAAGTAGCCACCGTGGCCCCCAATAATAATAATAATAATCATTATAATCACAAAATACAAACTACTAGTATGTTGTCAAAGCTATTATTTATGAGATCAAATGACTACACCAATTTGATTTAGTTTAAAAATAAAAGGGTCTCTTTAGTTTAAGTTAATTAGTTTTTCAGAGCGGATGCCTGTCTACCTGTAAAAGTTTATGTCAACAGATGTAGCCAATTTTCCCTATTTGATTTAAAGGAATAAATATAAGTCTAAAAATGGTTCAATTCCGTTCGGTATTTACAAAGTTCTCATAAATTGAGTTCGGAATTGCATCTATCGGTAGCCGAGACACCTGATTATTGAGCGTTGGTATTTTGATTTTGTTTTCTTAATTGAATGATAAATAATAAATCTGAGTACATATTAAGTCTTGAGAAATTTTATCGAAAATGCAAATGGCCCATCGCGAACGTTAAGTGTGTTAATAACAAGGTTAAAAGCTAATGAGTTAATATTATATTTTGACTAAAGTGGGCATAATGGTGACTTACCAATTTTACATGTAAATAATTGAATATCCCATTCACCAGATGGTAGACAATGAGCCTGTGGTGACCCCTGTAGATAAGCCCCCTTAATACATTTATAGTTAACTATAGCACCAGCAGGATATAGTTCTTGCACGCGATCTGCAACTGCATGTAGTCTGGGAGGTAGTGATCCGCATACTGCATCTAAAAAGACATACTTATTGACATAACAAAATACAAGCAAGAATAGCACAGAGAGTTACTTTTTAATTCAGCAGAGCAGCAACTAAACTCCAGTAAAAAAACAATGGGGTTGGATTGAGTCAAATGGCGTGGTTTCGAGTCCCCACGTCTATGTGACAAGGAGTAGGCTCGCCAATCCATCATCGTGGTTTTTCTCCGAGATCTCCTCCTCCCACAACAAAAGACCCCTAGGCCAATTAATCAAATAAAATTGAACTATAGTTTGTGTCGAGTGGACGTTGCACCTCATTTCGCTCTCTCTTCAGAAAGAAACGAAATGATGTACAACTTTAGAGTCCCAAGACTAATAACCTAGACATTATTGCAATGATATGTCGTGTCTACAATATTGTAATGAAAATAGTCATATATCTGCTACAAATATGTGTGACACTCCGCCCCCACCCACCCCCCGCCTAATGCCTGGCAGAACAATGTCAGCAAGCGTGGACAAAATCCGTACAAGAAAATGTGACAAGGGGGGTAACTCCAAATGCGCAAAGTTCGATACGTTCCCTGGTTATTTCCAGGGGAGGGAACAATTGCTTCATGCTGGGAAAACATTTTCAGAACCCCACTTTAAATTAGTAGGGTTCATCGCTATGGCGAGTCTAACAATCTCAGCTAGAACCAATATAGCAAGAACTCTGATGTCAAGATCGTGTACACATTTTCCGTGGCAAGTTTGCAGCCTGCATTAAAGATGGGTTATGTAAGATTTAGATCAAGAGCTGACAGTTCTCGCTATAATAGTGCAAAAATAATTAATGAATACACTATATTGAAAATTTCAGTCTCTCTGAGCGAAGTTTTGACAACAATAGCTTAGTCTCGATCTGTCATGACTGTGATAATAAACAACGTCTCGATTTTCCAGTTTAATGTTAACCGATTAAATGGCGCTGATGGTCTAGTCAACTTCATATCCAGACTATCCAATGGTATAGAGAGTGCATTCGAGGCTTGTCATTTCAATAAATATGTAAATAATCTATATAGCATTTGAAGCCAAGAAAACGCCGTGCAAAGGCAGATTAAACACTAAACTTATATAATTTCCTCTTCATCATCGTGTAATTAATAACTTTAATATTGGGAGCATAATAAATGAAATGAATTGGGGATAATGCTAGGTTCTCACTATCACGAGTAGTGCTGCTATTGAAATCGTGGTTTTAATCGTGGAGTAATCGTGGTGATCCTGCCAGCTTTTATCATATATAGAGGTCAGTCGTAGCAATCGTGTTGATCGTACGGAATCGTACCCAAACGTATCTGCACGTATCAGATCGTGGACGCAATAAGGGCAGTCCTATCGTAACGCATCGCATGACAGTGGGAACCTAGCATTAAAGACACATGTGACAAAGTACTCTATAACTTTTATCAAATTGAACGATCATTTAGGTGCTTAGAACTTTATGACCTCTGCTGTTTTTTTTGATTATACATGATATTGACGTTTCAACTCTGTATAAACTTATGTTAGGGTACGAACTGGCTATAATCTAATTCAATATATCATTTACGGGCTGCACTTGATCTGTGTGCAACGCTTGGCAGGACTTCAAAGGGAATGTACCAGTGGTCAGTGCATCATACCATGATCTGATAATGACTTCAAAATAAATACGCAGTGCAATTACAGATACCAGAATCTGATAAATAAACAATACCATATATGATGATAACTCTTAACCATTTTCCCTAATTGTCGTACGCTGTATAAGCAGTAGTTTGCTGACAATTATGCGGACGACTAAAGACGACTGGAGAGGAGGGAAGACGCACAGACCGGCGTATGGACTCACCTGGGTTCAGCCGCTGCCTTTGCAGACGGGCAGAATGTTGGATTTAATATAGTTATATATGTGTTCCTGTCGTAGTCTAGTTCATGTAGATTAGTTTAAGTTGCTATATAGTTAAAGTTCCCGTATTGGTGTATGTATGTAACTGTAGATGTTTGATGTTCTGTTCTGATGTAAATTAACCATATATTTACGAATCTAATCTCTGTTATAACTAAGATAGTGGTACATACATTATGTAAGAGCTACATCTGCCTATTGCAGGTCTTTCTTTTGGGCTTTAAATGTTATATTATCATTTAGACATTTATTAACATGGAAAGACCATAATCAGTTCTCTATGCTCGATATTTTCAACGAATTTAGACACAATTGACGGTTAATGATTTTAATTTTAGACTTAGTTTACTGAATAAAGTCAATCGTGTAACACAGAGAGAGAGAGAGAGGGAGAAATGGGGTTTAACGTCCACTCGACACAAACTAGGTCATTTCGGGACTAACATATGGTTTAATTTTATTTCAATAATTCGCTTGCGCGTAGGGACTTAGCAGTGGGAGGAAACCGGAGGACCCGGAGAAAACCCACGAGGCTGGACAGGCGACCCTACTCCTTGTCACGTACAACCGGGGATTCGAAACCACGCCAGTTGACTCAATGACAGGCCGTATGATACAGCACGCACGTGCTAAGCATTCGGCCATCCACCCCACCCCCAACTGTGTAACAACTCTGCTATTTTCCAAACGTCGCTCAGAATGACAAGATTTGACTGTAATTTTCAAGATATTCCCTTTTCATTATCTAGTTTTTACCTATGATAGAGAGAATTGTCAGCTCTTTATCTAAGTCTTTATCTTAAACATCTTCAATTCTACCCGGGCTGTTTTAATCACGACGAGCATGAAGTGTGTTATGAGTAACTTACCCTGGTTACATTTAATGTTGTTCAGGCCATCTTTACATCCGTTAAAACATACGCCATCTTCTATCCTACAGCCTCCTGTAGAGCAGTAGGAACATGTCTGTAGACACAACCCATTGCATCCCCAATAACCATCTTTACAACCATCCAAACAAGCACCATCTAATTGTCGACATAGACCATTACACGTAGAACACGATTCTGCACACACATCACCATAGTAACCAGCTTCACATCCAAAACATCGTCCTGTCCTGTCATCACATTTACCATCCTTACAATGGCTACTACAAGTAGACTGGCATTCTTTACCATAGTAACCATCTTTACATCCAAAACATCGCCCTGTCATGTCATCACATTTACCATCAGTACAATGGCTACTACAAGTAGACTGGCATGTTTTACCATAGTGATCACCATAACAACCGTGAGAACACGATCCTCCTATCTTATCACATGTGTTGTTCAGGCAGGATGTGGGACATCGTATGTTACAGTTGGTGCCATAAAAACCATTTGGACAGTCATCTAAAGATCACAAAGATACCACTATATAGCACAACAGTTCAATGAGACAATATTCTCATGGAAAGCGCTGTTAATTAATAATAGAAAATAAAATAAAATGCAGTTTAACGTCCAGGATAATGAAGTCGGACGTGCGGCCAGATAGTCCCGCTACGGCCTACTCTAATTTCGAATTCCAAATGTCAAGGGTTCTTGTACGTGGACGCCAAAGGGGTACACCCCTCACCACCACGTCTTTCTCCACTGTGGAACTTTCTCGGCCAAAACCGAGATCAAAGCCGCGATCTCCAGCTTATGCTAGGTTTCCATTGTCGTGCGATGCTTTACGACAGGAGTGTCCCTATTGAGACCACGATTTGGTACCGGCAGAATACGTTCGGGTACGTTTCGATACGACCAACATGATTGCTACGACTGACCTCAATATATGATAAGACCTGACAGGATCACCACGATTACTCCACGATTAAAACCACGATTCCTTTCGTAGCGCGAATCGCGATAGTGGGAAACTAGCATTAGCGAGCCTGTGCATTTCTCACTGATATTTTAAATGGCCTTGCAGTAACAAAAGGGAGGGGATCCCCAAAACCGTATAAACGAATTGGACTGTTATTTAAATATAATAAAATGACCATCAACCAAAGGACAACCCATTCGGTATACGTACCTGCGAATACCTGAATCTCACAGATGTCCAATCGGGGATCAGTGCGTTTAACAGATATAAAAATATATCTAGCGGATAATGATGGTATTGCTGGATGATTGCATCTCTCTATGGTGTATACAGAATCTGTTGTTGATGCTCTATCTTTGTAGCATGGTGTGGCTGCTGTAAATCCTGCTTTATCACACTGACCACTAGAACTTATTCTCATCTCAAATCCATCTAGCTGTTTATTTCGACCTATTTCAACAGACGAGATAATTGACTGAATTGAATAGAAATGAGGTTTAACGACCTACTCTTCTGCTCCAACTAGGCTAATCAGGGACACTTTGAGCTACGGCCTATTTTCATATCGAATAACAACTACCAAGGGTTATTGTACGTGCACGGCAATATCTAAATGGGACATCGGATTTTCGTCCCAACCGAACGACTATACGTTGTCCCTTGGCAGGCCCTCCGTCCTGCACCCCTGACAAGGGGCAACCACGCCGAAAAATCCCGATAAACTTTCTAGGTCAACACAGGGGTCTGTCGAATAGAGGAACTCAAAGTTAGCGAGTCAACCTCTTATCCTGTTACCCACTGAGCTACCGCGAATTCCGAGAAAGTTGACACTTAAATCTATGCTAAAAACATGACGATTACTATGATAGTGAATGCAGGAGGACCGCACTACACACAAACAGAGGCGGATTGGCCCATCATCGCCCGAAGGGCCGGTCGGACAAAAAATGAAAAAAATAATTTTGTCCAATTCGTCTAAAAAACCTTTTTCTACTGAACATTATATGGGTATTGGACCGGCCATGAAGCGATAATGATCATGTTGTATGTGGCCGATGGCTTTAACGGGCCGCCACGCCATCACTGGAGTCTGGAATGGGCTGGTATAATAGACTTTCTGGATCGGGTGTGCTGGGTGTGGGCCGGAATTCGGAATCCTACAATGGGGATTCCGAATTTCATCCGAAAATTTCATCGGATTCACCCGACACTGTCGCCCGCAAATTTATTAATTATTAAGTCACCTGCACACTGTTTGTGGGGATACGCCAGAAACGTCTGCCGATGGTTCGTAACTCCAAAACAAATTCAATTTTAAGGCCTCAGCAAAATTAATAATATGACGATATGATAATTTCACAGGTTGCGGTGGTTGTAAATTACTTGCAGGTCGGGGTTTTGGCCTAAATTAATCGATTTATGAGATATATTATTTGACAGAGATTATAATCAGATATGCCACCAAATCGAATATTTGGGGTTCATTATTCAAAATTTTCGAAAGTTAGAGCCCCGGGACCCCCATCAGTAAAAGGGGCCGCTCCGACACGGGAGCCCTGGCCGGTTCCAGGCCCCAATCCGCCCCTGCACACAAAAAAACCGACAAGATATACCTGCTGACGAGATACAAACTACATACACATTGCCCCGTCTTCATTAGCCCAGTCGGAGCAGAACAGTAGGACGTTAAACCCTATTTCATTTCATTTTCACATACACATTGCAAGAAATAAACAATAAATGGACCCACGGCGCTGTACAGAAATAAAATGAAATGAAATGGGGTTTGACGCCCTACTGTTCTGCTCCCATACTGGGCTAATGAAGACAGGCATACTGTGTGTTATGAGGGGAATTTTGTCCGGGCAGCGGCACTATGGCCTACTCTTATATCGAAATTCAACTGCACACTAGACATCTGTCCTTGTCAGGTCTTCCGACTTGCACCACTGAAAAGGGGAAACCACGTCGGATAATCTCGATGAAATTTCTCGGCCAACGCAGCGAGCCAGAGTCTTACCCATCTAACCACCGTGGTCCCCGTACTGTACAGTCACGGGCCTGTAATTGATATACAGGCATCACACAAAATGAAACAAATATGATTTACAAGAAAGACTAACAGGTCTTGACGATGATTGTCTCCAGGGCCCGGTTCCTAGAAAATTCTTAAAGTAAGCACAAAGTCATGCTTCACTTTTTCTTACGTAAGAAATTTGATAAAAATACCGTTCCTAGAAAATTCTCAACACCATTCTTACGAAAGCACAAGTCAAGTATAAGTCTAAGCACATTGTGACTGGTAAAGTTTACCATAAACTGAGACTACGATGCTCTTTAACGTCATAAAAACACTTTTGGTATGCGAATTACGTCTTAAATTTGTCGTCTGCTTCATCGACGTCATATATATATATATATATATATATATATATATGGTTCATTTCGATGCATTTGACATGTCCCCTATTCACGTATAAAATGTGCTACAAGATAAAAAAAACGCAGACGCATACAAACTAACTTAATAATTGTGAGAGCGCCTGATCTTAAAGTAGCCTGTGTGTTTGTAGCCTAGTATTGTTTACTAATTGGCAAATAAATAAAATGGTTTCAGGGTAGGCCTAGAAGCGACATTTTCTATAGCATTCTTAATTCGAAGTGTATATTTGAAATTTCTTCTGGAGAAGGATTTTCTCTGTCTTGTAATTGTCTCTGTGGTATCAAAAGGTGTCGGAAATGCCGTCGAATAACTCTACGGTCAGCCATCTTTTTGAAGCAGAAACAGACTTAAGGTTGATAAGCAGGCCGTATGCCTGGCTTGGGACTTGTGCTTAGATTGACTATGTTTAAGAACGAAGTTGTGCTTAAGCTTTTTCTTGGAACGCATAATAACGTTCTTGTGCTACTTAAAATCTAAGCACAAAAACGTTCTTAAGAATTTTCTGGGAACACAAAATAAGGTAAGTTTACTTAAAGATGGGTTCCCGCGTACAAACTGGGTGATTTAATGGTATATATGGACTAAAAACATATTCAATCTAATTAATTTGTCATAATTATGCTTCAAATCCTTCTCAAACATTGTAATTGCGAAGGAATGCCCTGCTATTAAAATTCGATCAAACCAGGTCATGTTTACGTCACGTCATGGAAATCAGAGGAGAATTCATTGCATACATAAGACGATGTTGTCTTTAATCGCTTACTATTTATTACAAATATCGAATCCTAATTAAATTCTCGGATTAACCACTACCCGCGTCTTTTTCTGTCATTTTTATCTCAGAAAGTGTTGTACGTCTAACTCTTCATAAAGTTTATCAACTTGTACATCAATCGCTCAATGCTCGCGTGTGACCTTTGACATTACGCGTGCAGAAACTCTTAATCGTCGGGCTGTTGATTAGGGGAACCCTTACATTTTTGTCCTGTATACGCTCCATAAGTGTTTTTCGGGGAATCCAGTATTTTTCTAGTAGGATTGGATATCTCTACTTTCCATATATACCAAAATTGCCATACTTTTATTGGAAATAACCACCCGATAAATACTTTTCTGGGAACCCATCTTTAAATGCAAAGTCTACTTAAATCTAAGCACAAGAACGTGCTTAAGAATTTTCTATGAATCGGGCCCTGAATTGCGACACATTCGGGGTACCCAAAATTATATTTTTAGTTTACATACCATCGTGTATTGGTTTTGATATTTTAACTGTGTTGATATGAAACTCCTGCCTTAAATCCATACACCACCACGCTGTGAATCCAGCCCAACTTGAAGTATTTACACCAAGATTAATCGTGCTCTGTCGTGTTGGTTTATTAACAGCAACATTGATGGCACCTGGAATCAAGAACCAGTGCTAAAGACTTAAAAAAAAAAGAGAGAGAGAGAGAGAGAGAGCACATAGATAGTAGTAAAGCAAAATTGATTACAATATCTTTATGTCGGCTATTGACATCCATGGTCGTCCAGATTGCACCCATTAGTCATTACCATAATGTTAACTTATAGCTGGCCTGGATTATGTAATGTCCTATGTCTTGTAAAGCAATATGTACTGAACGTTTAAACTGGTATATGATGCAATATAGCCAGCTGTATAATCTCTTCCGTGATCCTTGTCTAGAAAGGGTTTATAAGCAGGAATGAAAAGGAGATAGTGGAAAGACGGCCATGGGCGCCTTGAGTTAAGGCTAGAACAAGGCAACCCTACTCCTTGTCACGTACAAGCGGGGAATATATTGAAACCACACCACTTGACTCAGTGACAGACCTTATGATTTCACGCGCACACGTTAAACTACTAGACCACCCAACCACACATAGTTGAAAGACAATTTACCAGAATATGGAGTTGTCCGATTGGATAATCTGAAACAGTAAATTGGGAGTAAATCAAATCTGAAACCAGAAACGTTGTATAGCTTACAAATCAGTTTATCGTGGAAGTTTTATATCAGTTTGTATCTTGACTTATGAGTTACATGCGGGCGGTGTAAGTTGTATCTTCACTAATAGCTCAAGAATAATTCTCGTTGCATTAAAGTCATATGAGGCATGATAATTTATTCATTAAAGAGGCATTACTCAAAAGCCAAATCTGCCTATTGAAGGTCTTTCTGCAGACCTTAAATGTTATATAAACTATTCATTAGATATTTATTAACATGCCTGGACTATAATCAACTTTCCGGGCCATTGGGTGCTCTTGAATTTCAATGGATTTAGAAATGATGGGCAGTTATTGATTATATTAAACATTGTTTACTCTCGTAACAGCGGTAGGGGTGACAGCCGAGACCTCGCTATTCCCGAAACATTCGCTCAGACTGAAGTAATTTGACTGAAATTTTCTAGATATTTCCTTTTCATTCTCTGTTTTCGAACTTTTATAGCGAGAATTGTCAGTTCTTTATCTAAATCTTACATAATGCATCTTTAAAGTCGAAATGCTTTGAAGAAAAATAAAACAGACCCCAATTATAGACAGTCTTAAAATAAAATGTGCATTAAACTCAACAAATCTAGAAATGACTTGATAGAATCATAAAAATATGTTTTGACATTACGAAATATTAAAGATACATTATTGGAGATTAGATAAAAAGCTGGCAGTTCTCACTATAATAGTTAAAACTACGTAATGTAAAGGGAATTTGCTGAAAAGTGCAGTCAAATTAATTCACCCTGAACCTAGATTTTAGCGACTGAATATTGGGGCTAGCCCCGATCGTCATTACTTAAGTCGGTAGGATAAAAAAATATATATATGGATAAGTTAATTAATGTCTAATTAATAATTTAGATAACATTTCAGGCCTAAAGAAAGACATGCAATAGGCAGATTTAGCTCTTGCATAATGTATGTTTAACTTGGCTTGACATAACAAGACAAATGTGTCTTCAACTTATTAAATATAGGGTTAACTTGACTTGACAGAACCAAGAAAAATGTATTTTGAACTTACCAATAGAAACATAAACATTATCAAATATAGAGTTAACTTGATAAAACCTGTTTTCAACTTACCGAATATAGAGCAAACTTGACTTGATAAAACAAGAAAAATCAACAATGTATCTGTAGTTGTCATTTTATAATACATTATATACTGAGCGATGATCTGTGATTTATGTTGCCAGATAAAACTGAGCTTGGTACAAATTTATACTAGCTTTATAAGGTAATATAATTAGAATAAAAAGTAAAAAAAAACATAAGAGATAGCGACAACTAATTATTTACATCGACACAATAAGATAACAATGCCAATTAATAACAAAATATATGATAAAAAGGTAAGAGATAGCGACAACTAATTATTTACATCCGTACAACAAGATAGCAATGCCGATTAGTAAAAATAAATAAATTAGGTTCGCCACAGTTAAAAGAGAGAGAGAGAGAGAGAGAGGGGGGGGGGTGCTTTGTCTCATTTGGTAATCTATTCGTGGTATTGATTCCACGTTTGTACATGACAAGCGGTAGGATAACCTGTCAAACCTCGTGGGTTTTCTCTGGGTTCCCCCAACTGCTAAAGACCCTAAACACTAGCGAACTAATGAAATAAAATTGAACCATGTGTAAACCCCAAAATGACCTGGATGGTGTCGAGTAGACGTTAAATCCCATCTCTGTTTGTCCCCTCTCTCTCTCTCTCTTGCTAAAATTTGTGAGTGTAAAGAAACTGTTTTTGTCCACCAGCAAATATCTGAGTTATTATTTCAGAATACGTTTCCTTTTTAGAACTACAACACTGTATAAAGCATGTAGGGTTTAACGTGTACTTTACACAAACTAGGTCATGTCGGGACTAACGTATGGTTCAACTTTATTTCAGTAATTTGCTTGCGCGTAGGGAAACCGGAGGAACAGGAGAAAACCCACGAGGTTGGACGGGCGACCCTACTCCTTGTGACGTACAACAGGGGAATCGCAACCACGCCAGTTGACCTAATGACAGACCTATGGTGCAGCGCACAAACGCTAACCATTCGGAATTCCACCCCAAGCCCCCCCCCCCTCCGCTCCCAAGCTATATGTAACAAGATGCCTTCAAGACCTTGGTTTAAGGTCCTACTGTTCTGCTTTCGACTTGGCTATTGCAGACCTGGGCCCGGTTCCTAGAAAATTCTTAAAAGTAAGCACAAAATCATGCTTCACTTTAGCTTACGTAAGAAACTTTATAAAATACCGTCTAGAAAATTCTCAAGACCGTTCTTACGTAAGCACAAGTCAAGTAGGAGTTAAGCACAATGTGACTGGTAAACTGAGACTAAGATGCTGTTTAGCGTCATAAAAACAAATTTGCTATGCGAATTACGTCATAAATTGGTCGGCTGCATAGAGTTATAAATAGATCAATGACATTAACTTCCCGGCAAATAGTCGATTTGGATGCATTTGACATGTACCCCATACATATATAAAATGTGCCACAAGCTAAAAAAAAAAAAAAAAAAAGCAAAAAAAAAAACAACCGCAAGCACATGCAAACAGACGGAATAATTGTGAGAGCGCCATATCTTAAAGTATCTCGTGTTTGTGTTGTTTACTAATTTGCAAATAAATAAAATGGTTTCAAGGTAGAAGTAGAAGCGAAATTTTCTATAGCATTCTTCTCGAGAATATGTTTCTAAAGGATTTTCTCTGTCTTTCAATTGTCTCTTTGGTATCAATAGATGTAGGAAATGCCGTCGAATAACTCTATGGTCAGCCATCTTGTTTGAAGCAGAACAGGCTTAAGGTCGGTAAGCAAGCCTTATACCTTGATTAGGACCTGTGCTTAGATTGACAATGTTTAAGACGATATATATATGTTTAAAATAAACATCGAACACATTTAGAATTTGTCGAAGACTGTAGATATTAAGTAAGAGATTTAGCTCCGTCAAGTCAAATAGGGAAAAGTGATGGTGGGGTCAGTAGTCAGTACTTACTTGGTCTTTATCAATAATGTCCAAAACGACACCGATGGCATTCTTTTTTACTGGATTCTAGTTCTCCGTGTTATTATTACTGTTGTCCCTGTATGATGAGTTGTAGGTGGGGGGGGGGGCTTTTTATTTCAGAAGTAACTTGTACTTGGGTGGTTTGCATTTGTGTGTTTGTCCTTTTACCTGACTGAGATTCTACGCATTCAGTGCCTCGGCGGTCTGCTTAAACGGGCTTAGGGCTTTCACTTTCGTATCTGAATCGGGCATCTTTCCCGTCGGTTGTGTCAATGCCCTTAGAAGGTATTCGTTGTAAAACATTCAAACCTCAGCTTGTGAGCATTGATTGCGTGAAATCGGGGTGGTAAGACGACAGCTCGCTAGCCTGGGGGTCGCGTGTTCGATCCCTGCATTGGCCGAGAACGTTCATCGGGATTTTCCGACGTGGTTTCCCCTTGTCAGTGGTGCAGGAAGGAGGGCCTGACAGGGACAGCTGTCTAGTCGTTCGGATGAGACGAAATATCTAGATCCTGTGTACTTAAAAGATCCCTTGGCAGTTGGAATTCGATATATGTAGGACAACTTTTATAGCATGGCCTCTTACCTCTGATGACATCAGCATGTGTAATATTCTTATTGTATTGCGCGCGCATTGAGTCGACTGGCGTGGTTTGGAATCCCCGGTTGTACGTGACAAGGAGTAGGGTCGCCTGTCCAACCTCGTGGGTTTTCTCCGGGTCCTCCGGTTTCCTCCCACTGCTAAAGACCCCTATGCGCAAGCGAATTATTGAAATAAAATTAAACCATATGTTAGTCCCGAAATGACCTAGTTTGTGTCGAGTGGACGTTAAACCCCATCTCTCTCTCTCTCTCTCTCTCTCTCTCTCTTTCTCTTATTGTCTGTTTCATAGAATAGCTTATAGAGTCTACTGGGGTATTCCCCGACAGCTTTAATAGTTCATTTCATCACATACTCAAATTCATTGATGTTAAATGATTCAAAGAGTCCAACAAAGACATTTTTAGATTCTAGGAAGTCTACTGCCATATAGACATTTCCATTATCTATGTTTGAAGACATTTAATATGCTTTTTATCAAAGTTATCATGACCTAGCACATTTTGTAATACATGTAAACGATTTATACCCCGCATTATCTAATTGAAAACAATTTTCGCAGCAGTGTGTTTGCATATATACCATTTACCTATTATTTTATCGACAATCGAAAAATGTAATTACTGCTGGCTAATTAATTGGCAAAACATCCTGTCCTGTTAGATAACAGTTTAAACAACGCCATAGATTACATGTACTTGTAAAACACAGAATTTCTATGGCTATTCTCCCGCCTTTTAAATGCTGGATTTAAGAGACATACTGGCTTGGAAACCGTCATTGTTTATTCCCCCTACTGTAGTTTGAAAGCTACGCGATGTGGCCGTTTGGGATGCTTTTCATTGAGCTTGTTGGTGCTGCTCAGGGCAACAGATGGTTAAAGTAGACGGGAAGGGCGGCTGGGGTCAGATTATCATTGAGCTTGTTGATACTGTTCAGGGCAACAGATTGTTAAAGTATATGGGAAGGAGGGGTGGGGTCAGATTTCGGAATGGGATATCGTCTGAGTAGGGAAACAAAACGAACAGTTTAAGTGTTTTTAAGAATAAAATACGAAATACTGTAAAACATGAAATTATTGCGAGCATGAAATTATTGCGAAAATTGCAATAATTTCGTGAAAATTCGTTAAAATGTCGGCCATATTGAATTATCCCCCTTCATTACTCTTCACAAGAAAGAGTCCCAATAAGTACATCGCCATTTTGAAGGTAATAAAAATGTCACATGCCATGTGTTTTATAGTCGTTCGTCAGCTTGGAGTTAATCAAGGGATTTAATTTAAAGAGACTATCCCGGTTTGAACAGAGTCTCAAAAATAAAAGTCTGATTACGCATGAAATTTAAGCGCCAAAATAAAGAGGAATGGTGTATTTACCTTGTCTCAAAATTTCAGCTGAAAATATTGATTCGTTTGGACGTGAACGTCAAAATTGCTTATCCGGACACGTAACCCTTTTAAGATTTCGGGTCAATTTTTTCGTTGGGTGACCTGATAATCGACCCCCGTTTCTTTAGAGGTCTCTACAATGAATGACCCATGTGTTGTACTTGATAACGAAAGGTAAATTTCACCTACACATTATTTTTATAAAATAAAAGTCTGGTTTTAACCAGACACCGTATAATACAGCTTGGGACACCGGTCTCCATTTCCAGATAAAGACTGACGGGTTTAAGTTGTTTGAAAACGTATCACATATGTTGAGTTAGTTGCTCGGCTCTAAGGTAGAGGATTTTAAGGGCTTTTAACACAAAATTAAGCAGTTTTATTCTCCAAAATATTATCGGGATTGGCCCTTTAACAATAATTATTTAAAAATTGAGTTTGATAACAGGTATTTAATTTTCTTTGATCTGTTGAATACAGATTCAAAGTCATAATCCTTAATAGTTGTTTATTTACTGTTACTAATGATCACCGATGTTTTGAAGAGCTGACTGTCACCTCAAAATTAACAATCTACCACATTTTATAGACAAATTTACTAAAAAAATTATTTAAATTCGCAATAATTTCATGTCGCAATTATGTTTCACCACCCCAACTCGCAATAATTTCATGTCGCAATAATTTCATGTTTTACAGTACTCTTTCTATCTTCGCAAGTCTAAAATCGACCCAAACTGGAATTGATTGCAATAGGGTGAGGTGGATATGGTAGTAAGGACATACGATAACAAATGACTTTGATTTGAAGATGCCAAATGTGTTCAGTGAACCACCGCCTTTCGTGAAACAAAGAATTGTATTCGCACCATGAGCCCAATAATATAACTGAACATTTTAGAACAGCATTGTCCTCTCCCAATCCAAATCACTCTGTTTATTCCTCGCCCAGAAACTTCATGAAGTGGCCTGACACCTACTATCACAGTCTAGTTCAATGCAAACACCAAGCGGAAAAACTAATTGATTTTATTTTAACGCCTTTTTACATGTATTTGATCGTCAATGCAATTAAAATTAAACCTGTAGAGTTTTCGTTTAACAAAAGGTGAGGAAACCTTAAGAGAAGACAGTTTCGTTTCTTATGAACTGTTTCAGAGAACTCTTGGCAGGCAGGTAAGTCATTTGACAAAATGGATCAATTTGTACCA